GGTACCCATGTCACTTTTATCAGAAAGGCCACCAAAAGCCACAGTGTGGTCTGGATCCCATTCTGGATCCCAGTTCTGCAGACACATTGCAGGTCATTTTCTAGAAAGATAGGCCAGCCTTGATGCTCCCAGTCGGTTTGACTGAGGACACTATGGGGCAAGGGAGGTTCTCAGACCCCTCTTCAAACTCACCTTAGCACCAAGCAGCAGTTCTGGGGCACGATACCACAAGGTTACGACAACGGGAGTGTAGGCCTTCAGGGGTGAGCCATACTCCCTAGCCAGCCCAAAGTCACCCACCTATAACAACAAGGTAAACAGTGTGGCCTGTAAGACCAGGCTGTGGAGGGGTTTCCAGGGATGAGGTGGGAAAGTACAGGGGCTCACCTTGAGAATGCCAGCGTGGCTCAGCAGAAGGTTAGAGGTCTTAAGGTCACGGTGCAGTATCCAATTGTCATGGAGGTGCTTTACCCCACTCAGCAGCTGGATCATCAGGGTCTTTACCTCCCCTGTGAGAGTAATGAGATCACACACATGCTTCCTTTACCTCATGAGTTCCCAACACCCCTGCAAAAGGGCCCAGAGACTTGGGGTTATTTATGTAATCTAGTAGCAACTAGACTTTTGGGGCAAGTTCATCCAGGAACATTTCCAGCCCAGGGTGGCTCTGAGCTCACTATGGCCACCACTCATACAGACAGGATCACTAGAAAGGCACTATTCCTCCCCTTGCTCAGAGATCCCCCACAACATACCAGAGAACAGGGTGCTCTACCCTCATCTCATGACTGAACAGCACTGGCCGCCTCGGGTGGCATGCAGCCATACCTGGCAGGAAGGGCTGCTTCATGGTCTCCATCAGGCTCTTGAGGTCATGCTCAACATAGTTCATCACAATGTAGATCTTGTCCATGTTACTTCCCACCACGATTTCCTAGGAATCAACAGTGACCTATGGGTTTGGGCATGGCTCCTCCCTGCAACCCCACCCTGACAAGCACTGGTTCTCGGAAAACTGAAATTGAAGATACATGCTGTGTATCATAGGTAGCAAAGACCTACTAAGCCTTCTTGGGAAGCTGTTATCTTTGGAAGTGCTAACACTTGACCCTATGATGTCATAGACCCTTCTCCCTTGTCCCTAAAAGAGGTAGACTCCCACACAGGCAGGACATGCCAAGTGAGGAGACTGAGCCTTACTCGGACAGTGACGATATTGGGGTGCTGGGCCTTGAGAATGGTGTTGATCTCCCTCAGTGAGGTGATGGGGAAGCCTTCCTTCTCCTTCTCCATCTTTAGCCGTTTCAGAGCCACAATTTCATCTGTAAAGAAAATACTGTAGCTGGGCATGGTGGCTCATGCTTGCAATCCCAACGGGGGAGAAGCTGAAGCAGGACTGCCATGAATTGGAGGCTAGAGAGCGGGACAATGTCTCAAAACACCCACAACAGTCACCTGTGGTCACACGGGCCTCTAATCTCAACATGTAGGAAACAGAGATAGACAGATCCCTTCAAGATCAGTCTGGTCTACATTGTGAGTTCCAGGACATCCAGTGCTACATAGAGAGGGAGGGCCTGCCTCAAACAATGCAACCATGTAAATGCAAACTGAATTAAGAAACACATCAAGGGCTGGAGAGATGGCTCAGAGGTTAAGAGCACTGACTGCTCTTCCAGAGGTCCAGAGTTCAATTCTCAGCAACCCCATGGTGGCTCACAACCATCCATTATGAGATCTGGTGCCCTCTTCTGGTGTGCAGATATACATGGAAGCAGAATGTTGTATACATAATAAATAAATAAAATTAAAAAAAAAAAAGAAAACACATCAAGATAATCAACCATGATCAAATTGGCTTTTTTCAAATATGTAGGATATGTACATATATATGTAGGATAGTTCAATATAAGCAAGTCATTTATAAATATTTATAAATTTTTATAATTTATAAATATTATAAATTACATAAATGGACACAGGAACAGAAATTACATGGTTATCTTGATGGATACCAAGAAAGGCTTTTTGACAAAATCCAACATCTCTCATATTAAAATTCCTGAAGGAATAAATCTCAACATGGTAAAGGATAATAACATTGTATTAAGTGGGGGAAGCGCAAAAGCATTTCCAGTGTTTGGAGATGGCTCCGCAGTTAAGCAGTTAAGAGCACTCACTGCTCTCAGGAAACCCAGGTTCGGTTCCCAGTGCCCTCATGGCTAATTACAACCATCTTTAACTCCAATTTCAGAGGATCTGATGCCCTAATCTGGCTTCCTCAGGCACCACGCACACACATAGTGCACAATCATGCAAGTAAAATACCAACACACACATAAAAAAAATAAAAATAAAAAATAAAAGCATTTCCACTAATACAAGGAACAAGATAGGGAGTCCATTATCTCTACTCTTATTCATTAAGGTACCGGAAGCCTTAAAAATCAAATGAATAGAAACAGGAGTCAAAATATCTCTACTTACACATGCTAGAGTCATCTGAAAGGAGGGGACTTCAATTGAGAAAATGCATCCATAAAACATTTTCTCAGTAAGTGATAAAACCAGCGTAGGGCACTTTCTGAATTAGTGGTTGATGGTAGAGGGCCCAGCCCATTGTGGGTAGTGCTATCCCTGGTCTTAGTTCTATTTTTTTTTTTTTTTTTTTTTTTTTTTGGTTTTTCGAGACAGGGTTTCTCTGTGTAGCTTTGGAGCCTATCCTGGCACTTGCTCTGGAAGCCCAGGCTGGCCTCAAACTCACAGAGCCCCGCCTACCTCTGCCTCCCGTGTTCTGGGATTAAAGGCGTTGGCCATCAACGCCCGGCTTGGTCCTGGTTCTATAAGCAAGCAGGTTGAGCAAACCAGTAAGCAATTCTCTATCAGTTCCTGTCTCCAGATTCCTGCCCTGTCTGAGTTTCTTTCTGTCCTGTCTTCCTTCAGAGATGGACTACTGCTGGGGGAAACAAAAGACCTTGTGTCCACAGAACACTGAGGAGACCAGGAATGTTAAACACACAGGGGTTCCCTCTTAGTGGAATAGGTAAAATACCTGTTTTTCCATCCAGAAGGCTGATTTTGTTAACCTGGTGACCTTCAGTATCTGTGGAGGCAGACCTCACCCAAATCCCCCAGAATGTTTACCCCAGACTCTCCCCCCAGACTGTTATCTTTAGCTCCCAGTTAAACCCATCCTTAGGGGAGGTGTCACATGGACCTATAGCTATCGGAGGTCACACTATTCTAGACCTTTTAGCCATAGACCCCACCCTCATGGTCACATGTAATCTGTAAAGGAGTCTCTATGTAGTCACACCTTAAGCTTTACTGTGCACCCTGAATGGGAATGATTGTTGCCTGGAAACTTTTCCCAAAGTGTACTATGTTTTAAATACAGTAACAATGAACCACCTGGCATTAGACTCTGTGAAGTCTGATCCAGGGTGAGAAGTCAATCTGAACTGGGTTTCATTCTCATCTCTTCTCGGATCATGGCCTGCATTAACACCTGCAGGGTCCTTGTCAGAATACAATGTGGGCTGGGTGGTGGTGGCACAGGCCTTCAATCCCAGCACTTGGTAAGGCAGAGACAGGCAGAGCTCTGCGAGTTCAAGGCCAGCCTGGTCTACATAGGGATTTCCAGGCCAGGCTCCAAAGCTATTAGAAACCCTGTCACGAAAAATAAATAAATAAATAAATAAAAAGAATACAATGTAAAACCCTTTCCTCCCCAACTTGCTTTTGGTCATGGTGTTTCACTGCAGCAATAGTAACCTTAATAAGATAATAGGAGACACTAAAGACTCCACAAGATAACTGCTAGAACAGAGAAACATTTTCAGCAAAGTGGTAGGATACAAACTTAACACAGAAAAATCAATAGCCTTCCTATATATCAATGACAAACATACTGAGAAAGATACCAGAAAAACAATTCTATTCACAACAGCCTTTAAACAAAACAAAACCTACCAGGTGTGGTGGCACACACCTTTGATCCCAGTGCTTCTGGTGGCACAGTCAGGTGGCTCTCTGGGAATTGGAGGCCAATTGGACTGCATAGTGAGTTACAGGCCAGCCAGGGCTACACGGTGACACCCTGTCTAAAACATCAAAAAGTTTGTAACTAGCAACAAACAAAACACAAAACCAAAACAAAATCTGACCTTGGAGTAACATACACTAAGGAAATGAAAGAACTCTGTAAGAAAACTAAAAGATTTGGGGTAGAAAGATGGTTCAGTGGTTAAAAGCATGTACCGCTCTTGCAGAAGATGTAAGTTCAATTCCCAGCACCCACTTCCTGTAACTCCAGATATAGGGGGATTCATTGCTTTGGCCTTCCTGGGCAACTGTACACACATGTAATTGTACACACATACATAGATAATTTAAAAAAATCTGATGGCTTAAGAGCACTGGCTGCTCTTCCAGAGTCTGTGAATTTAATTCCCACCAACCACATGGCAGCTCCTCTATAATGAGATCTGGTTCTCTCTTGTGGCACACAGGCATGTGTGCAGGTAGAAAATGGCACATATAACTAAATAAGTAATTTTTTTTACCTTGGTCTACAGAACTAGTTCTGGGACAGCTAGGGCTGTTACATAGAGAAACACTGTCTTGAAAAACAAACAAACAAAAAGGGAAGAAATTGAGAAAGACAATAGAAGATAGAAAGACTACCCATGCTTGTGGATTGGCAGGATAAATATTGTGAGAATAGGTCACTCTACCAAAAGCAATAAAAACGCCTACTTAATTCTTCACAAAGATAGAAAAAACAATTCATATGGAAACACAAAAGAATTCTGAGCAAAAAGAATCTTGCTGGGAGACACACGCCTTTGATCCTAGCACTTTAAAGGCAGAGGCAGTCAGGCAGATTTCTGAGTTCTAGGCCAGCCTGGTCTACAAAGCCAGTTTCAGGATAGCCAGGGATACACAGAAACACCTCTGTCTGGAAAACCAAAACAACCAACCAAACAACCTCCCCACCCGCAAAACAAGACTCCTGTTGGAGGTATCACCATCCCTGATCTTCCTTCCTTTCTTCCCTACCCACTCTGTTTCGTTCCTTGTCTCACTATGTACCCTTGCTGGCCTAGGGCTCACAGAAATCTACCCGCCTCTGCCTCCCGAGTGCTGGGATTAAAGGCGTGCATCACTTTGTCTGATTTCAAGGTACACTAAACCAAGGCACAGAAATAAAATCAGCACAGTATTGACTTAAAGACAGAAAGAACAGTAGAACAGAAAAGAGGGCTCTGACACAAGTTCACTGTAATATATATTATAGATTATAAATTATAAAAGTATATATTTTTACTTTATGTTTTAGTTTGTTAAAAGAGTCGTCAATTAAGATGTTCTCCTTTGTCTTCTCCAAATGTCAGAGGAAAAGCAGGGAGTACACCTCAAAGTATAGAACTAGATAAGGACTTTCTTAATAGCATCGAGTCACTTAAGGCCAGTAACAGATAAATGGCACCTCCAGAAGGGCCCATTACAGGAGGGAGAGAGAACATGCCTTAACTGGAGTAGGGGAATAGCAGAATACATGATATTAAATTTAGGGGAGTGTTGGACATGGTGGTGTGTATTTTTAATCTCAGCACCTAAGAGGTAGAAGCAGGTGAATGTCTGAGTTTAAAGTCAGGTTGGTCTACACAATGAGTTCCAGACAGCCAGGTAGATATAGTGAGACCCTAAACCAAAAAACAAACTAAAAACCACAAAACCCAAAAAAATCCAAATAAAAAGTACTTGGGGTTAAAGATTTAAGCAGAGAGGGGTGGGGGCAATTAGGAGAGGACAGAATGGGCAGTAGGTTAAGCAATAATAAAGAAATATGAAAAATCCTTATGGAAACACACTATTTTGTAAAATGACTAGATAATACAATTTTAACTTATTTTATGCATATAGGTATTTCCTTTGCATGTATGCTAAATTTACCACATATGTACAACACCCAGAAAGGCAAGAAGAGTGTGCAGGAATTCCTTAGGAAATGGAATTACAGATAGTTGTGAGTCACCATGTTGGTGCTGGGAATCAAACCTGGGTCCTTTATAAGGGTAACCAATCTTAACCACTGAGCTAGCTCTAGACCCCTTATTAGAGAATACAAACTTTTCTTTGCTTGTTTTTTGAGACAGGGTTTCTCTGTGTAACAGCCCTGGCTGTCCTCGCTCTGTAGACCAGCCTGACCTCAAATCGGAGATCTGCCTGCCTCTGCCTCCCAGGTGCTGGGAGTAAAGGCGTGCACCACCACTACCCGACTAAATATTTATTTCTATACTCATGGATTAGTGCTGCTTTTAACCTTGGTCAGAAAAGCTTCTTTCAGCAGTGGGCTCAGGCCTAAATAGGACACTCAGTCCAAGGTTCAGGAAGCATCAGGAGTGAGGGGGAAGGGAGAATGTGAGAGCTGAAGGATGGGGAAAAGGGTACTGTCACTGTAAATGGCATCTTTTGAACACAACATGGCTGTTGCACACATGAACTCACAGCAGCTGGTCACCCATACAAGTTCAAGCCAGTCAACATAGGAGGGGCTCATGGACCAGAGCCTTATCCAGGAGATACTGGCAGGAGATAGCATCTGGGTAAGGGAGAACCACAGGTGTGGTCTATGGTAGGCTGCTTATGCTCCAGTGGATGGAACCACACCCAGGCACATGCTGGAAGCACTAACAGACCCAAGCTAATTATAAAGTTAGGAGGGAAAAAAAGGGGAGAAAGGGATGTGTTTGAGTGCATATGATCAAGATACATTTTATACATGTATAGAATTATAAGAGAATAAACTCTAAAAGTCATGTAAAGGGGCTGGAGCGATAGCTAAGCAGTTAAGAGTATTTGCTGCTCTTCCAGATGTCCTGAGTCTTGTTTCTCAGCACCTATGTTGGGTAGCAACAATTGCCTATAATTATATTCTAGGAACTCCAAAATCTGCTCTGGCCTCGGTGGGCACCTGTACTCATGAGCACATGAAACACCTCCTCCCCACATATATATATATATAAATTTTTAAAAAATCATGTGAAAACAAGAACAAAACAAAACCCAAGCAGAAACATTTGTGAGAAAACAAATATGGACTAAAAACTATAACGTGGCTAGGTGTGTTGGCGTATACCCATAATCCTAGCACTCGGGATGCAGAAGACAGGTGGATCTCTGTGAGTTTTAGACTAGCAGTGGTCTACAGAGTGGGTTCCAGGACAGGCTCCAACGCAATACAGAGAAACCCTATTTCGCAGAACCAAAATCAAACAAACAAAAACCCCAAACCCCAAACCCAACAACAAAATCCAAACAAAAGAAACAAAAACAAAAACAAAACCAATAAAGAAAGTCTTGGTGTTAGGTAGGGAGGTATAGAGTGGAACCAGCACCAAGAAAAGGGCAGGGTTACTTTCAAAGATCCAATGGACCATGCAGAATGAATCCACATTTAACAACCATGTGCTGGCATGGAAAATAGGCAGAGACTACAGGCGAGCGGTAGGACACTCTCAACATTCTTTCAGTCTGCACGAAAACCAAGAGGGGCTGGTTTTCTCCATGGAAAGCACTGCCTGTTAGAACTCGCAAGATGGAACTTACACAGATGCAAGGGCAACCAACTCATCATTACTCAGGAAAGACTCCTTGTCCCAGGGCAGGGCAGAGCTTTCTGCTGAGTAGTCTCTGGCCCTAACATTCCCTTAACAGATAACCTACCTGTTTTCTTGTCCTTTGCTCTGTAGACTACTCCATAGGTTCCTTCTTCAATTCTGTTCAGGCACTGGAACTCTTCTACACTCCGGCATCCCTGTGGAGGATATCAACAGCCATATTTGACATTCTAGCATGCTTTATCTGCACCTAGTACAAGACAGGAGAACTGGAAAATGAGGCTAAGGGACTTTGGATGAACCAAAGTGTGGCTGGTATGAATAGTTTTCTCTGTTTTGTCCAAGACTACCAACCACTTTTGTATTAATGAATTGGCATGAATAAAAGCATCTTTTACACCTGCATCTTCTGCCTGGTGAACTATGCCACCCTAGAGAGGGTGTGGCCTGCCTGCCCCTGCTGCCGATCTTCTATGCATACCATAGACTGGAATACCACTACTCTGTGTTGGACTTAGCTAGATTCAACTGTTTGGCAACACTAACTAACTGGAGGCCGGGTGACAAGGGCTCAGAATGCTGACATCAAGTACCCAGGAGGACTGTATCCTCTCAATCTTCAAGGCAATGTTATATATTCACTGGCAATTCCCTAAATGAAAGTTTGCAATCCTAAAACACATATTGAAATCACTTGCCATATCCAGAGATCAAGCAAAAAGCAGAATCAACAGCACAAGGCAGGACCATGACTAGCATCACGAGAGACATGTGCCATGACAGCATCTCAGGAGAGACATCAGCACCAGAAGCATGGTTCTGTAGTACCTAGTTAATTTGTAGATTGTCAAAGCAGGGAACGAACCAGCTTTGGGAAGAGCAGGTAGGGGTCTGACCTGCAGGGCCGGCAGGTACTTGGGCAGCTCCTGTTTTAGCTCAATGGGTGACAGGGCTGGAGAGTCAGGTACATAGTCTCCTTCCGTTGGGGCACTGCTCTGTGGGGTCCCTTCACCCACTTCTTCTTCCCCTTCTTCACTGTCCCCAGAATCTCGGTCAAATCGCGACTCTGGAACTGTAAGAGTTAAAAGTTACCTAGAGTGAGGCCTGTAGCCCTGGAGATCTAGACAAAGGAAGAATCTGAGCCTGAACCAGATACTAGGCTCATAGGATGAGGGTAGGTGACACATGAAGTGGTTAGGCCCACACCTCATATCCACCAACCAACAACCCTGTTAGCTGCTTGAGGCCAGGCTAGGTTTCCCACCCCATAAGAGTGAGTGCCTATGTCACCAGACCCAGAAACTGCTCTCCAACAAAACCCGATTTCCTTTGATCACAAAACCCTGGGCTCCCTCAGCATCTAAGTCACAGTGGGCACACAGGAGGATGCCATCCAAATTAAGTAATGCCAGCTATGGTAGGCACAGGCTGCAAAGTGGGCAAAGATGTGTTCTTTGCAAATCACACCATCTCTCAGGCGGCTTCCTCTGTCCCCAGACACTGTCAGGACAACAGCAGTTCTCTACAGTTTCCAGGAAAAGTCTTGAGTTTATGGAGTATTATGTGCTATGGAAGGTTTTTTGTTTTTTTGGTTTTTTTTTTTTTTTGAGAGGGGGGGGGGGGTTTGG